CAATAAAACAGCTTCTGTACAGCAAAAGCCATACAGTGAGATGACCTACAGAACGGGAAAACACTTTTTGCCAGCTATTTCTCAGACAGAGGACTAATATTTATTTATTTATTATTATTAATTTTTTTGCATTTTTAGGTAAGGGTCTATAGGGTGTTCAGGGTCTCACTACTAGGTGGGACTCATAACGATCCCCGTTTACAGCCTCCCAAGAGCTGGGATCACAGGTGCGCGTCACCATACCCAGTCTCAATTGCCATCTCAGCACACCCTGGGGGCAGGGCCGGCACAACAGGCATGGAGATTGAACTCCTGGCCCCTGTGCCTGCTTGCAGGTGCTTCAATCTGCTGAGCTATTTGGCTAGTCCTTCAGAGGACTAACATTTAGATAAAATAACTAAAAAGAAGAATTAGAACCCTCCCAAAAGAACCCAACCAAAAAATGGACGAGTGAATTGAATAGATGCTTCTCAGGAGACAAAGTACAGATAGTCAATAAATACGTGTAGAGAAATGGAAATTAAACACACTAGAACTTACAGGAAATGATGGAAGTAGTCCTATAAAACAATACTGAGGTTCTATCTTACGCTAATAAACATAGCCAACATCAAGAAATGAAGTAACAGATGTTGCCAAGGCTGAGGCATAAAAGTAAACTTCTGCATTGTAGATGGGAATGTCAACTAGTATAACCACCATGGAAATCAGCGTGGGGATTCCACAAAGAACTGCCATTAGAATTCCATTCCACCTAGCTATCCCCCCTGTAAGTATCTTCCCTTTCCAATAAATACAGAGCAAGACCCTGTCTCAAAAAACAAACAGAAGATAAACAAGTCATTTATAGGTAAATGAATGTACCTTGAGACCATATTATGTGAAATAAATCAAATGCATGTGCTTAAATTTCACATGGTTTCTTATTATGAGAAACCCAAGATATGAATAAAGAACAAAAGAGGAGGGAGGGGAAAAAAGGGTAAAAAAAGAATTAGGATCTGTTACGTACATGTACCAATTTCTCGCACAGAATATAAAAAAATAAACTGAGGGACCAGGGAGATGGCTCAGTGGAATAAGCACTTCCCTGGCAAGCGGGGAAAAAAAAAAAAAAAAAAAAAAAAAAAATCTGAGTCTTGATTTCTGTGTTTTGATGGAGTGGTCCGAAGGGAAGGTGCTCATCAAGGCAAAAACACAGCCATCTTATGTCCTGCCCCAGGTTCTTCCCTGTGTATGTCTAGGCAAGCGCAGGGTGAGGACAAGCTGCTCTGAAGCTGGACACACCAGTCCTGCCAACAGTGGCCTTTCTGACTCTGTAGATCACCTTCTGCAGGGGCGCCTTGTGGTGATCTGGCTCCCCAGTCATGCTCCTTACAGATGCTTGCTGTTTTAGAGTAAAGAGCAAGCAGTGCTTCCTGGGTAGTGAAAGGGACCCAGCCTGAGCGGGTCATTAGGAAAGGGAAGGAGAAGTGGTGGGGTGGAACTCTACTGTCTTTGTGTCACCTCCTCAGCTCCAGGGCTCTCACCAAATCAGAGAACCCTGGGCACTTCCGCTTAGTACTGTATCATCACTCAAGGAAGCACATACTGCCTGGGGCCACCGACTTGGGTCTGCTTCTTGCATAAAGCTCATCTAAATCCTGTTTTATAGATGGTCGTAAGGGAACTATGGTGCATGGACTAAGTACTAAAACGTGTTAAAGTTCTTAGTGAAAATGTTGGGGCTGTGGTGAAGCTCACAAGCCCAGGTGCAAGAAGGGGTGCCTCTAGCCTCCTGTGCTGTCAGCAGTGTGGTGAGACAATGTGACAGGAGCAATCTCTTCCCACTTCGTGCAGCACCGCGACCCCAGAGCTCCACAGGAGCAATGGCGCTTCTTGGGGAAATTGCCACCTCCAAAGCCAAGGCACACTGAAAGCAATGCCAGAGGAGACACTAGCCCAGCAGTGAGTCCTTCACTTCATCTGTGCGTTGCTTACTTAGTGAAGCTGGCACTGCCATGACTGCCAAGTGGGCCCCAAATCACCAGATACCATGGAGGGCCCATTGAGAAGCGCCGGTCAAGTACAAGTGCATGCAGGTCAAAGAAGATAATTTTATTCTTTTTTTTCCTTAAAGATACAACAGAAGGTTTATAATTCAGTATAATTAAACATGATTTGTAATTTTAACACTTAATGACAACAAAGAACTAATACAAATTATAAACTACTAGAGCAAAAACAACAAAAAACCCCAAATCAAATCAAATCTACTTTTCTGATCAAAACATGTGCCACAGCTAAACTTCCTTAGAAACACCTTGTAGAAAGCCTTGAAATCCAAAATTTTAAACTATAGTTTTGTAACCACTTGGTGCCTTCATCAACTCCTTGTTTCCTATTTAGGAATGTTTAGGATGTTTCAAGCCACTGATGACCAAGTAGCTTGAAACATATAAATGTTGATCTTATTTTTCCAGCTATAAATTTATGAAAACAAAATATTTAAGCCCAGAAGCTTTTAGGAAAACTTCTATGACCTTTTCTGGCTCAGTATCTGACCGAAATGTTCAAATGTTTATATTGCACGCAAAAAAATTTGAGCAGCATACTATGTTTATATGAGAAACTGATTAAAAAAAAAAAAAGACTGGGAAAACTCCCTAAATTTACATGATTTAAATATATAGTTTCTATATCATTAGTGTAAGTAAAAAGGTAAACTTTTGAACAGCACAGAGATACAAAGGTATTTAGTTTACAAAATATACCCTACCCTTCAGACATGCACGTCTTCTGTCTGCTAACGTGGAGCTACCACACAAGGAAGCTCTCTCTCCTTCATCATGAATGCAGGAAGTCATGTGTACAAAGTTACAGATATGAAAAGAATAAAGATTCACACTCCTTTTATCTTTGGGATGTTGGACATTACAGAAAAGCAATTCCCATGCTGTGTAGTCTGCAGACTTGGAATGGGGAATTTTCTAGCACATGTTGCTGTGTGGAGTGACAGCCATCATGTGATGCAGCAGCATTCTCACCATGCTTAAATGCGACCAAGGGACTGGGTACAAAGCCACGAACAGTGTGCCGACGCTGGCCAGAGAATGAGTGCGAATGTGTGGATGCCATCTCAGGCGTACCAGCCAGCCAACTCCAACAGTAGCAGGCCACACTCAGCGGCTACCAGCCCAACAGCCTGCCTCCACATAGGTGCAGCTGCCACCTGGCACCGTCCCCACACAGCCCCAAGGGGCTGCCAACCAGCACGGGCTGGAAAGGGCCAATGGCAGACACCTCTCATAACACTTTTTTCCACAGAATGTAAACCATTAGCAAAACCTTCCTGCCAGGGAGGGCATGCTATAGCTTCATTTAGAAACCAAAAGCTAGCAGATTAAATTCTAACTTCTTTCTAAAGGAATTCTAACCTTCAGCAGATTAAATACTGCTCTCAAAATATTTCATTCAGATTTTAAGTACCTTGTTCCTCAGCACACAAGAACTCTCTCCTCCTCTTCCGAATTTGTTTTTACTGTGGCTTTCCAAAGAAAGTTAGTCTAAAAACATTAAATGCTTAGTTACAGAGCTTGGAAAGCAAAAACCTGAGGAAGTGACATCATACACTCTGGCTTGCTGCCAAAGAAAAAGAGCTGCTGTTACTTAAAGCAAAAGTAGGTGAGAACTGTTTTAGGGCGTGGAGTCCAGTGAGTCTCCAATGGACTTGAGGGCAGACTATTACTTTTTCTATTCCTCCATACTTAGCTTTATCACTCCTTTCCTAATCTATGCCATTGTCATTACAGTGCCTATATGAACCAGTCTTTTGCCAGATACTACTTTTGAGCCATCTTAATAGTAGGGAAGCTACCCATGGGCTGCAGATGTCATCTATGTGCCTGCCTACCTACAAAGACCAGCTAACTGCAGCTCCCACAGGCCTACTCACACTCCGTCTTTGGACACAAAGTCTCAGGGATCACTGCAGGAAGTGTGGTACCAACTGACCCACCTGTCTGGTCATCTATCAGAAGATGGCCCAGTAGGAGCTCCAGAGCTGCAGAGCCAGCATGTGGAGGGAGGCAATGCCTCTGGTCTGCCACTTGGCGGGGCTGAACTGCAAGCCTGAGCCTGAGGCCTGTGGCCTCGCAGGCAGGGACAGGTGTCCTGCGCTCAGTGCCGGCCTTAGAACCTCCATCTCCCAGAACTGGAAGTAGTAGAAATGATATCAAAGGTAGGGCCTTTGATATCATTTCTATCTTCTGAGATGCTCATTTTATGTTGAAAGCTGCTCATGTATCCACTTTGAGAATTAAACTAGGAGGATTAATAGATGACTCAATTAAAATACACATTCAAATGAGGAACTAGGAGCCAGAAAGATGGCTCAGTGGAATAAGTGCTTCCCTGGAAAGCACAATGGCTTGAGTTCAATCCCCGCTTCCTGGGGGCGGGGGGAGCAGCTGGAAGGAGTAGGGTAAATAAATGGGAAAAATAGCAGTACTATCAAATGAGGAACTAGCAAGCAACATTATTTCATATATCACTGGATTAAAAACGACCCTTGAGCCGCTTCCAAATAGAGACTGAAGCCCCTCTTCCAGACACAACAGAATGGCACCTGGCATCTTGCAGCTGGCTGACCTCTCATGGGGCACCAGGCAATTCACACAGCAAACTACTGGCACCACACAGGTGACAACCACACTGGAACACTATCACATTCTGATTTGTGGTGCTCTGAGATGAGATAAGTTTCAGCACAACCCTGTATAGTTTTCAAAGTTTTGTCTGCTATTACTTGTCCATTTTCTTTTTTAGTTTGTTTCTTTGTAGTACCAGGGATCAATTTGGGACCTTGCACTTGCCAGGCAGGTACTTATGCCACTATCTCTCTAGCCCTACTTTTGTTTTCAAATAATTTTTGTTTTGCATGCACACGCGCATGCGTGTATGTGTCTGTGTTGAGACAGCGTTGCTATGTAGTTCAGGCTGCCTTGAACTCAGTGATCTTCCTGCCTCAGCCTTCCTAGTCCTGGAATTACAGGCATGTGCTACATGCCTGCTATTCAAATATTTCTTGACTTAATTTTCTGGGCTGGAACAAATCGATGGAGTTTGCACATTCAGTTCTTCAATATATCTTTGCTGAGCTTTTAAGTTATTATGCTCAAATTAAAGTACGCTTTTAGGTGCACAGGACTTATGTTCGAACACAAATTAGGAAACTTAGATTAAACCCCATGTTCATTTCATATGCCTTAAGAGTATTACTTAATAAATTAACTATTTTGTACAAGATAAAGCAAATTTAACCAGTGTCCTCAATCAGGACCTGAATCCCCTGACACTCTTTAGAGCATATGTATGCCACACTTGGAAGGAACTTTCCAGTCTTCTGCTGCTGAAAGGGAGTCTGCTTCCTTGAGGCTCTGAAAAGCCCACATCGAGTCCCCAGGAAAAGCAGCATGGGAACACGTGACCCAACAACAATGGGTACAAGGGTGCAGATGACAAGCCAAAACCAGATGTCCTGGGGACAGGCAACAAACTGCAGGACTACAGTCTTCTTCTCCTGCCTTATTGTTTATTAAATGCAAGCTGAGATTTTTTTATTTTTTCTTCTTTTTTGTGGAGTATTACTTAGAGCCTTCCCACTGGGGTACACCCCCAGCCTTTATTTTTATTTTTCAGACAGGACTAAGTTGCAAAATCGCTCAGGTTACTATCTTCCTGCCTCAGCCTCCCAGAGTGCTGGGATTAAAAGTGTACACCATCACCCTCAGCTACAGTTTCTCTTTAATCTTTATGAATCATTTTGCTTTTTTTTTATAAATACTTTTAGGAGGAGGCAAGGATTGACTACAGGAGGATTTTCAGTCAAGGAGGCAGGAAGGCTAAGTGCCTGGAAAAGCTTTATGAGTAAGAGGAAGAAGCCTATAGATTTGTCTATAGTGATGGAATAGTTAAGAATGAGAGGGCACAAACTTTTGATTAAAAAATGCTGACAAAGACTTAAAACGTGACCAGAGTCGACAAAACTAATGTATGGGTCTTTGAAAGCCCTGACCACAGACTATGTCAAACCACTCCTCGCCACTGTGACTGTCCCTGTACTGTTTCGCTGTCTACTTGCTGTAGCACAGTCAGCATGGGGAGAGCATGGGACATTCCCTGCGGCCTCTAAGCAGGTGTGCCAGGATAGAACAAGGCAACCACCTGAAAGCACTCTGTGCACAGAACTCCTGCTCTGTCTTGCACAATTCTTGGAAGAAGTGAACTGATCAGTGTGTTTTGTAGATAGGAAATATATTTTTAAAAATCCTAGAGAACTCAGGAAAACAGTAGTGGCTGGATTTACGGCTCTTTACCTTGATGAACACATTATACAGACAACATTCGAGAAATTAAAAATTGTGACATAACTTAATTTTAGCAAATATAAATTATAATGGACATCTATATATTCAGAAGCAAAACAAAATTTACATAAAAACTTTTCTAAAGTAAACATATACAATCTCTGAACTTAAGGAATTCATTAGAAGGTTTACTGCACATCAGGCTCAGAATGAGAGTAGTCAATTTAAAGGTCAACCTGGAGTCCATCCCTGTCGTGCCTGTGACATCATTTTCTCAGTATCCTATGCTGTTCATCAGACAAAGTGCAGCTATCCGTGTGAGCAGTTCCATGTTCAGGTCCTGCTACAACCCTGTGACCTGGAAAGGCACAGGTGGGACACAGATAGCCAGTAGCACTTACACCTAAGAACATGATGCAACCTCTGCCAGGGTTCAGGGCTTCCCGTCGGGGGGCTCAGGGAGGCTCTGAGGGACGGAAGTGGTGAAGGTCGAAAGCCACGAAGACATAGCTGTCTTTGCACTGGAAAAAGCTCCTCCAACTGACTGGCCTGGTAGAAAGGAAAAGGAAAAAAACACCTGAACTTGCTAACTGTGAAAGACGAAGACTTATCCATAAGTGGTAACTCACACATGCATGTTACTAAAACCATCCCTTTTCGTAGGAAACTGGTTTCTTGGTGTAGGCACCCACTCTAGGCACTCTGGAAGGACTCATCCATCTGTGCTAGTGATGCCAGCTGTGCAGGAGGATTATCCGATTGCTTAAGAAGTTAAATGTGCTCTCTACTATGAACACCATACTGATAACAGGCCACCTATACAGGAAAGAGTGGTTAAGCAGTCTTAGAGAAATTTGCTTTTAGCATCTAAAACTGGTACATTAAAGCCACAGAGCATTCGTTCTGCTGCAGGTCTATTTTGTTCTAAAGAACATCTCAAAAGCTGAGGCCAATGTGAAGTTATATAAATCAAATCAATACTCTTTACAGAGGAGAACATGGAAGAACTTAGTCTTAAGAGTTTAAATACTGGCAGCACCATCACTAAAGCCCAAGTAGTCTTCCTTTGTCTGTGGTTTTACTTTCTATAGGTTTAATTACTCATGGTATGAAAATATTAAATGGAAAATTCCAGAAATAATTTTAAGTTTTAAGCTGCACACTGTACTGAGTAGGGTGACATCCTGCACTGCCCAGCCCCATCTACCTGTGCCGAGTCCTCTCTTGTGTACCGCATGGGCTGTGTACAGTGCTGCCTGCGAGGCCCGGGCCATCATCACGTTATCACGAGGACCACCAGGTGCTGCAGTGCGTGCCCTAGGAACTTCACAGTAGCCCTGAGGCGCACGGGCAGTGGTGCTGGCCACTCGGATTGCCCAAGAGAAGCTGTCAAGTGTACTTAAGTGAGAAGGTGAAGGTATAAGATCTTTGGAGAGACAGAGCACATTCACAAACTTTTATTACAGTGTATTTCCATATTGGCTACATTTGAACATTATTAATTTCATATTTTGTGTAGTTTATGTTGAAAACATTAAAAATACTGTGGCAAGATTTTTAATTTTATATTCCATTTTGGAGGGTTTTTTGAGACAGGGTTTTGATATGTAGTGCTGGGTGGCCTTGAACTCATGGTAATCCTCCTGCCTCAGCCTCCAAAATGCTCAGATTACAGGCATGCACCATCACGCCTGGTTTATATTTCATTTTATTATACAGCTTTGCAGATTTTCCATTTCTTTTTCCATCAATTTTGTCATTTGAGTCTTTCAAAGTTTTATATTTTATTTATGTTGTCTACTTTATTGGCACAAAACTGTCTGTGCTGATGTACTTTCGGTTTCCTGAGAAGGGACTCACTACATAGTTCATGTTGCACTTGAACTCACTACATAGCTAAAACTGGCCTCCAATTCACAGCCATTCTCCCGCCTCACCTTCTACCTTAACCTCCCAGGTGCTAGGATTACCGCTGTGTACCACCACACCAGGTCCCCCTTCTTCCCGGCTAAGTTTCAGCATTGTGTCTTCTCTTTTTCATTTTATAGAAGGTTTATAAACACTGATTTTTTAAAAAATCAACTGTTGTTTCATTCATTTTCCTTATTATGTAACACTACCATAACAGACAGCAGTTCCTCTGGCCTACTTTATTATGGAAGTTTGCTGTTTATAAGGAACTGAATGTAGCCCAAGTTGTAAGGACAAACTTCTGATGAAGCTTCAACCTTGAGAACAGAACAGTGAACCTATCATGATATTTGACTACTACCCATAAGATAGGTGAAATCTGCTGAACTTGCATATTATCTGATATTACAATAACTTTTTAGCCAGGAACATAGTTCAGCAGCACAGTACCTGTCTGGCAAGCAAAATGTCCTGAGTCCAATTCCCAATACCAAAGAGAAAAAGACAGTAACTCTTTTTTTTTAAAGACAGTAACTCTTGAACAAGACAAAGATTTTTTAAAAATCCTTGGATGATAATGTGATACATAAATTTCTACAACTTTATCTTTGTATCAATTATATACTGAGAACAGTAGATATGGGGCCAGGGAGATGGCTCTGTGGAATAAGCGCTACCCTGGCAAGTGCAAGGGTCTGAGTTAAATCCCAGGTTCTGCCAAAAAAAAGAGAAGTTGATATGTAGGACCCCAAACTGTTGCTGGCTACTGCCATACCTTACCTACAGCTTTTCCTGTTTGTACCACATTCCTGCTGGTTGTGACCATGGCGTTTCCAATTTTTTTGCCACGTTCACTATTCTGAACAGAACTGAATAAAGGAGAGAAGTGTTAATACAAATGAAAAAAACCCTCACACATGCATGCACAAACATTAACTACTCTATAACCATCCTAAATCAGAATTACTAAGAAGCTCAATTATCTTTTGTGAAAATGTATGATAACACATGAATTTTTAGAATAGACTAAAAAAATAACAGATGAACCAAAAAGTGGAGAGGACGTAAGTATGGTTAAATTTCCCTGAAAGACATGGTTTGCTGAAGGCACTCCACCCAAACACTCACAAGTCCTGCTACTAGTTCACACCATTTCCATGGAATAGAAGTGTTCTCACTTGAAACACACATAGTGCCGAGCTAGAGGATGTTATGCACATATTTGGTTATTATTTGAACTACAAGTCTTAAGTAGAGAAACAAAATTCCTAATAAGCAGTAAAACACATGACATAAATTCAGACAATTTTCCTCATGTGTATTTTTATTTTTATTTTATTTTTCCCGTATGCTTTTTTTTTTAATTTTATTTATTTGTGTGTGTGTGGGTGGGTGGCCAGCTCAGCCCACCAGGGGGCAGGGCTGGCTGGCATGTGGTGCTGGGGGATTGAACTGTGGTCCCTGTGCTTTGTTAAGCTTGTTCTAAGTAGGTGCTTTAGACCACTGAGCCATCTCACCAGCCCCCCCGTATGTTTTACTTACTGTGAGAATCTTAACTTCATGTCTGACATGGAATACTGGCCTTGAAATGGATGGCTGGAAAACAAAAAAGTTTGAGTTTGGATTATGATTTTTTTTTTAAAACCAGTAAAACTGTGAAGAGTTATTACAGGAAAGTGAAAGCATTGGTAGGTCTCTCAGAGGTGACTCAGCTGAGTGGTAGTGCTCTGAACTTGCTATAAGGAAACTGGGCTTGGGTCCCTGCTCTCTTGTCACCATTTGTATCAAAGAGTGTACTTAACCCTTCTGAACTTAATTTCCTCTTTGCTAGATAGTGTGGGGTATGTGTGTGTGTGTGTTGGAGGATTATGGCTGTGTTTGTACCACTTTGATATTCTGGCTTATTTACTCTGGGGTAAGGGCCCAAGTATCAACATTTTCTCTCCCACCCTCTCTGTTTTTTGAGACAAGATCCCTCTTGTTCAGGCTGGTCTCAAATTTCAGAGCTCAAGGGATCCTCCTACCTCACGTTGTCCCGAACCTGGCACTACAGACATGTGCCACTGTGCCTGGTCATCAAAATTTTTAAAAAATCTTCCCAGGACAGTCAGGGTTAGCCACTGCTGTAGATCATGGTCATGGATTATACCTTCATCCTGGCCATCTTTTTTTTTTTTTTCTGGCCATCTTATAAATGTGTTTTATTGGTCATGAAGATATCTGTGGATGTACCAAAAAAATTCATTCCTTTGTCACAAAAGAAAAGCAACTTAAAATGCAGCTCCTGGCTGGGCATAGTGGCACATATCTATAATCCTAGCAATTGAGAGCTGAGGCAGGAAGATCACTGTGTGTCTAAGGTCAACGTGGGCTACATAGTGAGATCATGTCTCACAAAAAGAAAAAAAGGTTCTTAAAAATGGCAGTATGGGCTTGGGGGATGGCTCAGTGGAAGAGTTCTTGCTTGTATGCAGAAAGCTGTGGATACAGGCTGGTGGTATGCACCACCACCACCACCACAAAAAAAAAAAAAAATGTATGGTCCCCAAATGGTACCATGCTTTAGTAAGGGATTCCATTAGACTTCCTTCTATTACACAAAAGGAAATGGTGTATTAAAACAAACAACAGAGGCCAAAGGGAGGTTTACTTTAGCCCATGACTTTTTTTTTCCATAACTTTATTGATAAACAAATAGCAATGAGACAGTTTCAAATCAAATCGCTAGGACAGTTTCAATAATTAACACACCGCATACATTCTTCTTAGTGGTTATAGCCCATGACTTTTTAAGAGGTCAGCCTGGACAATACAATAACATTTCACCTCAAACCAAAATCTAAACCAGCACACAACTCCAACCCCTCACCGCCCAAAACACATACTTGTTTACAGACTATACTCTGGGCCCAAGTAACTGCACATAACATTTCCTTCTTTTCTGGACTCCTGAACCCAGTCCTGGACAGCTCAGAGGTTACAGGACTACTCTGTTTGCTCCAGAAATGCTGTGTTAGGGCTGAAATGTGGCTGCTACTTGTTTACTGAGGGACTAGGTTTCTTAATCTTTAGGAACTGAAAAAAGGATTCCAAAGATCTTAAAACTGTAATTAATATGGAGTATTTCTAAATTATATCTCCTGATCACAACTGAAGATTTTCTTCAGCCTTCTTTTGCCTAGGCAATCTCAATTTCTTTAATTTTTTTTCTAAGCACTATTTTAGTCTTATATAGCTCTCTCCAGCCAAGTCTCCCATGGCCTGACAAAAGGGTGCAGAGCTGGCTGGTCTGGTCTTAGGCACCACAGGTGGGGGTATAAGGACACCCCACATGCAGATGCCTCCATGCACCAGGTTAGGGTCTCAGCACAGCAACTCCTTGGTACCCCAAAGTGCACTCAGAACAGACAACTTTGAAGTGAGTCTTTCCTTTGACATCACTAAGTGGTTTTATCTTTTCATTTTCTGTTTTTATTGCAGTGGCTACACAGGTTTCTGCTGTAGCCAAATATGAGAACTAAATTCTCCAAAACAAGTGTGAACCTAGCAATTTTTCTTGCCAGATGGCAGAAAGCTTAACAGACACACTCTATGAAGCCTTTCCACATCCTCCCATCCTCCTTTCCACATGATGTGCCTCGGGCGCTGACTTACCTCTCTTTGTCCAGCAGTATTTGTTCCAGTGCCCCTTCAATCACTACCCCACTCTGGCTAAATAAAGTTCACCTCTGCCTCAGAAAAGTATTGTAATCAGGACAAAATTGGTGTTTGCCCAATTCTCACTAAGTATAAAATATGATAAAACTCAGTGTATCCTTCTATCATTAAATGTGTCATTTAATCTTTTAAAGTATATCCTCAGTTGATCTCCTTAGCCTCGACTGTTGTACTCTCATCCAGGTGTAATTCTGTTATCGTCTTGATGTTATTGCACCACATGTGCCTTTTTCTACCTATGTGGTATAAAGACTTTGTTCAGTATTCCAGAGGGTGGCATATTAACTGTGTTGAATGTTAGAATATAAAGGATTTCCCTTCAGGCTTCTCCTTCATTTGGCTATTCTGCTGAAGCATCGCTTCAGGGAAAGGGAAAAACCATTATGTATGAGCATCAGTGTGTCCCAGTATCTCCCCTCTGAAACACATGGAGAGCTGGAGAAATGTTAGTGCTTCCCATGTTGTCCTGTGCTTCTTGGATAAAGTTTTTAAGCCTGATTTTCTATATAAAGGAGCCTTTTGACAGCTCACTTAAGATGATTCTTGAAGATAGTCACAATATCAAAAACACAATTTTCTTTGTAGGCAACTGGTAAGCTTGTGTAGTATTGTGTAGCAGTGTCTAACCTCTGGTCGCCAGAGAACGTGCTTACTTTGGATTTATTTCTGCAAGTGCTGGGTGCTTGTTGCTGTTCCATACTCTGTAGTTGTGAGTATTCTTCCAAGCTGTAACAAAAGTGGTCCCATAGTCCGATAGTATCTTTTCATTATCTGTCAAGTAAACATGTGAAAGAAGTTGAGCTGAACTGTACCACTCAGGGCCATAACGATTAACAACCACAAAGGGTACAGGAATGGCTTTATCCACCCACCCACCCACTTCTTCTTCTTTTTTTTTGGTAGGGAGATAGCCTACCAGATGTCAGGAAACTTGGGCTTAGTTCTACAAATCCTGTTAAGAAG